CCCACTGGAACACGCTGGAGGCTGGTTATGGGATTTGGTTTAGGCTCATGGGGGGCTGAGAGGTATCTCCTTAATTCAGAAAAACAGCAGATTTTTGACAATATGCGTCTGTACAATCCCCCTTTTTATGGGTTTCTTGTTAAATTGTATAACATTTGCATTTGGAACCCAATTATTGAACTTTGTGTGTTTTAAAGTGCCGTAACTGACGACTACATCAGTCTGTGCATCACTTTTTGCCTCCAGACTAAATGAAAATGAGCTTCTAGCTAAATCTGGTGCAATGAATACGTTGTCACATGTAAGTAACTTATCATTTATGGTCTAAAAAAAACACAATGAGGGATTTTTATGCATTAAAATAAACCTGGTGACGATCTTTCCTCTCATAAACCTGAATTAATGATCATGGCTCTGAGCTCTGACAAGATAGTTACAAGCAGATTTTCTTTTTCAAGGTCATTTAAAAACATCTTTTTTAGAATATAGAGAGAAAGTTGGCAGATTTATAATTAAGGGCGAAATTGCTTCACTCCCACTGTGTCCTTGCTCCTGTGCTCAAGCTCTGTTATGCCTCCAAAACATTCTCCAAAGATCTTGGAAATCTCTCACACTGACTCCAGTGTAGGTGTGAATAAAAACCTTCAGATTTCAGAGGGTATTTTTCTCAGCTGAACACTGTTAGTAGCTGGTGTTAAGAGGTTATCTCAACAGCTAAGTAAGAAATTACAGGAGCACAGTGAATATTTAATTACACCTCCACCCCTTCGGTGAAGTTATTCCCGTCCGAATGGGGACAATGTGGCGAGTGGTGGTCTGAATTCGGTCCAAACCTTCCTGCCAAGAGAGATCAATACAGAAACTACTACAGGCACACTATGTAAAATATAAGATGTGGAAAGCTTGCAATAAAACTAAAAAAAGATATCGGAGGTGTCAGGGACTCTAGACGACTCTAGACGACTACAAAGATGTGCTTTGTGTTTGGTGACAGCTTGCCTTTCCAAAGATAATAAAATCTGCCTGCCAGCGTCTCTAAAGGTCATTAATTAATGCCTTGTATCTTGTTTGTTTAATCTGTACAAAACAATAACAAAATAGTAAGTTGGATGAGGTGGTGAAGCAGCGTGGGATCATGGGAGTTGTCTTCACCACCATTGCCGTCATTGCAGTCAGCTTCTCCCGGTTAGGATTCCTTCAGTGTTCATGGTTCAGGAGGTTTCTACCGGGAGCCCAATTATCCACAGAG